GCTCCTCTCCGAGCTGTGGGGCGCGGGCCGGGGCTCATTTCCTTGCCTCGCCGTGCCTATGGGGAAGGAGGGCCGGGGCGCTTTGGTCTCCTCCCCTGCTCAGGGTCGTCCCTGGGTACTTGCCTGCGGGAAAGAGGACGGGCACTGGGCAGGTGGTTGCGCTGTCCGTGTGTGTATCTTGCTGGGTGTTTTGCCTTGATAAAGAGGGATTGCAGGGGTCTTTCTCAAAGCTTAATGTGATCTCCTCTGTTTCCGTCAGTTTCTCCCTCCTCAGCCTCCCGGTTTTTCCTTCTGTCAAGCTGTTGTGTGCCGAGCTATAGCTATATACTATGTAATATTAAAATGCCATATGTCATTTTACAAGTTTTGTAGTACCTGTGGGTTGACACTGGATTAAAATGCTATTTTTACTTTTTTTTTTTCCCCATTTAGATGCGATATGTGTTTTCAATGAAAAATTCCTTGTTTCTATTGTATTTCAACTGATTAGGATTGTTTTAGGACGTGTTTTAATCGCTTTCATACGTGGTATGAAATAAAGTTAAGATACTCTACCTGAGGTTACTTTGTTTATCGTGAGGTAGGAGTTCTAATGCAGGCTGCGAAGTAACAAATCACTATTTTTCTTACTAGTGAGACCCTTTGCTGTACTACTTAAAGGTAACCTTATCCCTTTCCATCGGGGGCTGCATAGGCCGGGATGACTCTGCAGGCTGCACGGGAAGTCATTCCAGATCAGCTGACGAGCAACAGGAAGCAGATCCTTGCTGTTTTCTGTGCCTGAGAGTATCAGGCTGTTGAATACTAGCCACTTTGTGAGGACGCTTTGTAAGCACTATTAGGTTCTCTTTCACCGTGAGCTTATCGGCATCAAATACGGCAGCAATTTGTAGATACAGCTTATAAATTAGAGGGAGGCAATTAGTTGTCTTCCTGTAATAGTTTCTGTAAAAGGACACACTCTTGCATTTGGCTTTCTGTGCCATCATATTAAGTCACTATCTGCCCCAATTGGTGATAAGCCATGGCATTTCCTATGTAATGAATCCAAAATGACCTTGAGCATTTTCATCTTTAAAAAATTGAAAACCAACCTGCTCGTGTATATGGGTCAGGCTGAGATTTGTAGGTTTAGTATGTAGTATCAGCATTACCGTTAGGTGTCACTTGAGGCCGGCCAATCTCGGCATTAGTGGTTTGAGCGACTTTTATCTACTCTCTGTCCAAAAAAAAGAGGGGACGGAGACTTGTTTTGGTTTGGTTTGGTTTGGTTTTTTTGTTTAAGTTTACAGCAAGACAGGATTATTCACAGAACTGGCTAAGATGTTTTTCGTGGGATTTCGTCCAAAATGTATATTAGCAATCTGCTAAGAAATAGTCACTTTTGCCAGAGGATGACTAGCCACTGTCTGAAATCATGTTTGACCAGAATTGAAGTAGTTTAAACTTCCACTATTTGAAGAGCATCTTGTATTGTCCATAAAACACACTGTAATTCAGTAACTTCTGTTACTTTAGCCAGCAGTGTCGGTGGGAAATGTTGGGCAACTGGCAATAGATCTAGTGATTTCCACGCTTGACATGACTAAAGTTGGTTACTTCTACACCGATTGCTTGGTGCCAATGGTTGGAAATAATCCATATGCAACTGCAGAAGAAAACTCAGTGGAGCTGAGTATAAATGCTGAAGGTGGGTATTGAAGGCTGAAGGTATTTGCAAGCTGCAGAAAGTGCAAGAATGTCATGTTTACTTTTTTGTTGTTACATTTTGCTTATGTGAACCATGTCTAAACTAAGGTCAGTAATAACAAATTCAGTAAGTTACAGATAAAAATGTGTTTAGACTTCACAAAGGAAAATATTTTAAGTTATTTTGAATAAACAATTTGACATATGGTACCAGTAAGAAATGCTGCATTTCAACCATTTACAGTGCAGCCAAAACTCTGGTTATAATCCAAAGCAACGTGAAGTGTACTTGGAGAAAACTGCTAGAATGCAAGTTGAAATTCTCATGTAGAAGGACATTTATCCTCTCTTTTTCCTCTTCCTTCTTTCCCACCAGTGTTTGCCTTTTTTCTTGTGTGGCATTTCTCCCTCTCCTCCCTTCAAATTCTTTGTTTCTTTCCCTTTTTGCATTAAATCTTCTTCCTTTTTCTTTTTTTCACCTCTTAAATCATAGAAGCCTCAGAATAATCTGTCAATTTTTGCAAAGTTGCATAACAAGATTATCTGAATTGTTGCAGGAAGTAGATCTTTATATGTTTTTCTTCATTCAGTCTGCTGAATTTATGACGAGTGAAATTAAGTCCAGTTAAGACAATGCACAAAAATACCTATTTTTAACACTGTGGACATTGTCAGACTTTCGCATATGAACTGACAGCTGAAAGGTTTACTCTCTTGAGGTTTGTAAATTGAATAAATCTGGATACTTCTAAACACAGATATCTTTCTTGCTTTCTTCTTACAAAACTTAATTATTTCCTATTGTAGTGTATTCCTTACCTTCAAAGAAACTTGTAGTTCTGCAGATCAGATCGCCATTTATAAAGGTATGAATATGCATTGATTGTTCTTACTTCACTCTTCAGTTTTAGTAGTTCTGCTAGCAAATAGTTTAAGTGGCCTAGCAAAATGTTTTTTCTGCAATATGCTATAGCACCTTTTCAGCTGATGTGGTTTTAGCTTACAAAAACTGACATCTACATTCATTGAGGGCTGAGGTTCTGTTGTTTTTCCAAGCCCCAGAACAGTCCATTTATATGATAGATTTTAGTGTAAATATGTCCTTAGATGTTAAGAGTCTTAAAAATAAAAAATGGTCTGGGTTTTGTCCATTTCTTTTTTCTTTTTTTCTTCCCACCCCCCCTTATATTTATTGGTTTCTGTGTTATTTTATTGTAATAGCTTAATTTTTGGTGTCACTCCAATTTAATTATTTCATAGTGTTCTATATTCATTTAAACTGCATTCATTATGTAAAAATGAAAAAATTTAAATTACTTATTAACTGGACAGTGACTGTAATTTAAAATAAGCAGAATGCCATGCCAGAAAAGAACAAAATATGCTGTAGTTTTTAATATTTCAAAGTGTGGAAAAATCCTGCAGATCCTACCATCCCATCTTACTGTAAAGCTTTGTCTGTTGGTGTTAATGGCATACAAAACAGGTGGTACTGTTGTTAACATGGGCTTCATGATAATTTTTATCATTATACGTGTAGTTTTGATCAAGTAAACAACCAGAGCAATCCTCTGCTTTTTAAAACTATATCTGAGGTTGAAGACTAAATGGGTATGAAGAAAAATTTACACCACTGCTAAACAAACATTATATGTAACAGCTACTATTGTTGGGTTTTTTTTGGTTTGGTTTGATTTTTTTAAGGACACAATATATTTTTCATTTCTTTTTTTCCTCTGTCATTGCATAAAGAACAAGTACAGGCCCTTCTGTCAAACGCTGCTTTCTTGGGTTAAAAGCAGCAAATGTGCCAGGGTCGTCGTTCTGTCTAGCAGCCATGCGTATCAGCGAGATGACGAGCAGCTTCTTGGGTATGTTTGTGTCATTAAAATACCTAATCAATGTTTCTATTCTTTTTGACAAACTGACATATTTCCCTCTACTCAGTACTTTTGACAGGGTTCTTTTGCTTGCCTGTGTACATAGGTTGTAAAATACTTAATATACTATTAAAACATTATGTTACACAGGATTAGTCTCTCAACTTTGTTGGTTGCTAGTGTTGAAAATAGTGAGCAAAAGGCCTGCACTGTCAGGCAATAGAGCCTCAGTTTTACCTTCTTAATTCCTTGGGGCTGCAAGCAACTTCAGGGATTAGCTGCTAACATACAGGTCACAGACTAGATTTTTAACAGTTAATCAGAATATTGATTAGTTTTTTACCTCTTCTTTATTATTCTGTATGTTGAAAGTTTTCTTTAATATAGTAAGTTATTTCATATAGTTTAATAGAAGAAGTTCCTATTTGTTGGGAGTCAACTCCAAGGTTCAGATGATACGTGTTTTTATTAGATATTACTCCTTTAAAAACAAGCATTACTTGCTGATTGAGGACATCATGACTGGTGCTTTAACAAAAGCAAACAAACAAAACCCAGTATTTTTGCAAAAGTCCAATTGTTATCCTCAGGCTGTATAAATGTGTAGGGCTTTAGAGGAAGTTTCCGTCTATTCACATTCCAGATACAGTTACCAGTGATATTTGGCTCCAGTTGCGGAATAGCCAGCTAACATGCAATGAAATGAGAGGGACTGATGATTATTTGTTGTGGTCTGAGTCATAAGTTGTGGTGGTTTAACCCCCCTCAGCACCAGAGAATAACTCTGTTACAGCAGATTCACTAAAGAGTGAGAGTAGTGCATTCAGAAAATACTTAAGACTTGACTGAAGTCTACATATATTTCTGGTGTGAGCTTATTAAAAGTACTGTATCATGGTGAAGTCCAAGTTTACCCTAACAAACTTTAAATTAATCATCTCCTATCTGAAGGAAGAAAAAGCGCATTTTATTTGTAAATCATTTTAATAACCATGAGCAGTTCTCCTATGAATGTGCTTATGTATAAGTATTTGCCAGTTATTTGAGCCTCTCAAAAAAGTGTACTTCTCTTTGTGGCAGAAAGCTGGGTAGTTTGTACTGTTTTGAAGCTACATTTTAAGTTTGGTTTGAGGAAGAAGGGAATGTCCGTGCAATTCTTCATTGCAGGTGTGAGGTCCTCTACCCTTCAGCTTCCTTCTGTCACAGTAAAGTTGTGTCTTTTATTGTCAGACTGAATGTATTCTTGATTTGTTTCTAGGACACCACTACGCTACCTACTTACACCTGATCTTGAGAAAGCAGTTGGAGGCCTTATGCAAGAGCTAAACTGGAAAGAAATGGAAAAAGTAGCCGCTTACCCTGGAATAAATGATACAGAAAAAGTACTACATATTCCTGGAGGTGGTATCACAAAACGCTTGTTTACTGAGAGGTGAGTTGCCTTAAGATAAGCACAGAAAGGTAACAGAACTCTCATTTGTAGTGCATGGGTAAAATTATCTTCTAAACTGCTATGTTATAGGAAAAGTCCTAATATCTAAATAAAAAAATGGGAATATTGTAACCAAGGTACTGATATGCAGCCCGCAAAACTGCTGTTTGAAATGCACAGAAAGAAAAGGAATGATTATATCAAAGGATCTCTATATATGTCCCACTAGCACAAAAATGCAACCTAAGTATGCAGAAGAGGTCCTGTGTAACTGTTCCATGACGTAGGATTCCTGCCTCACAAAGCAAAGAACAAATTCAAGACTAATAAAGAGAAAACGAAGTGTGAAAATGCAATCAGGGAAGTGTGGAGAGGGGGGAAAACCCATCTTTCTGTATATGCATACATTTTTCTGTTTGGTTTGGGTTTTGTTTGGTTGTTTTTTTTGTTGTTTTCTTTTAACAAGCCGTGTGCAGTTGTTGTTGCTCCTAATGCATAAATATAATTGTTCTGGGTCTAGAAATGAAATAGAAATGCCTGCTCATTTTTTGTTGCAGCTCTTCAAAAGGAATCCAAATGGCAGTTCTTCTGAAATTCTGCTCAGAAGGGGACAACATCCCTGATGCGTTTACTCTTGTTAACTATCTTAATGAATGGCTCCAGTTAATTAAAAGCGAAGTAAGTGCTGGTTTATCTTGAGTACCTGCATTTTATTTATTTTTTTTTTAATTTTTCTTTTGTAGCTGTTATTTTAAGTTTTTTCTTCAATCCAGAACATTAAAAATGTCACTCAGCTGAATTCTTGAAAAGTTAAAAATGTATTGGTTGGCTTCCTTTTGGTCTTTGGTCATCAAGCATATGCCAAATTAAAGATACATTTTGATTAAAATCTCGCTGTGAATTTCCCTACCTGAAAAAAACAAACCTAAACACCAGTTCTTTTGTTTGACAGCTGGGGGAGAAAATTGTGTAAGGGTTTGATTGAGTTTGATCTTCCAGTCGTCTTCTCTAAAGCAACCCATGATACTGATACTTGAAATGCTGTCTGTTATTTTAATACATGTGCCAGAGAGAGAATTGCATCATTACTATTTAAAACTTAATGAATTATTCTGGTTTTGTTGCAGAGCAACAATTCCACCGATACTTCTTCACAATGGAAAATACCAAGTTCTTGGCGCTTACTTTTTGGCAATGGTCTCCCACCTGCACTCTTCTGATCAATTTTGAACTCTTCTGTAAGTCATGTGTGCAGTCTCAAATGTCCCTTGAGAAGTTATTACTTAGTCATTGCCAAGCAACAGCAGCTTACTTTGTGTCTACATCAATTCTTTATTTAAGAAAAATTTCTTTAACATATGTGGGTAGCAGCTAAAGAAATTAAGGTAATTTTCACAAATTGACCAAAGAAGTATATTTTGTACAGTTCTTTATTGAATAACTTTAGTTGATTTTTTTTTTTTTTCCTAATAAAGTATTTTTGAAAAAACCTTTTTCTTTGGTTAAGTGTTATTGCTATAGAAAAATCTATGGTGCTCCTTTTTCATGTAGCTGAGAACTTGAGACTGATGTGCAGGAATAGATCTTTCTTATGAAGATAAACCCCTAATCTTCCATGTGAACTGTGGATCTTAGCCTTTTTTTCCCCCAAAACCTTCTTGGTGATCTAAGGGAAGCTCAGAAGTGATCTAGTTCTGCTTTCTTTTCCCAATACTGTTGTGGTAACTTCACCTGGGGAGACGGCAGGTGATACACAGCAGCCTGTTCTATCTTCTCTGCTTCCATCATATTATTTCTATTCTGCTTACAAGGGCTGCAGAGATGCTAAAACTAAAGCTTTCTAGGTAGATGAGCTTTCTTGTGCTGGTTTAAGGATGAATACAGTGCTCTGAAATACAAAGGAATTAGACCATTGCCCTGATAGTGGGCAGTCTGGTATCTGTGAATTTTATAAGCTTTGAGACACCAGTTGTGTGATACAGAATTCATGAATTTAATGTTTGTAATAACACTTGTGTTATTAAGCTACATGTTCAATTTTGGTCTTTTGGGAGTACTTGGTAACATCAGCTTATTTAAAAGTAACTTTAAATCTGGAATTCCAAAGTTGTAGTTTATGAATTAATACATGACACATACAGGGTATAATTTTAAATACTAAGTCTGCTAAGTATGTATTTTTTTTGTTTGGTTTGTTTTGATTTGGTTTTGTTTTTTTTTTTTTGTGATGTGGTCATGCCGGTAGAACAAATGAGGAGGAAAGGAGCAGCAGCAATCCTGAAGAGATCTGTTAAAGGTGTAGGGATAAGATTCAGTGGTCAGCTTTGCTTGAGAACTTGTACCTGTTGGTAAAGAAGAGCAGTTCAGTGAATGTGACTGATCACCCAACGAATGCCATATTATTTGTCTTTTCAGGGTTTTGAGGTGAGAATCATAGTGAATGACTGTCAGGACTAATATTGGAGTGAATATTCACTGACTCTTCTTTTGCCACAAAACAGTAAGAAATTTAAGTGTTTCCTAGTCTTAACTCTGCTTTGCAGAAGCAGATAATGCAGGGCAAACTGAACCTTGGAGAGTTGGTATGTGAAGCAAACACTTCATATAATGGTATGTCCAAATGTCTTAAAATGTAGGTGTTCAGTCACAAACCTAGGTATGTGTAGAACAGTTAGCATAAACTACCTGCTGCTGGTGTTAGCAGAACTGGAAAGGCTTCAGGATTACTTAATTACATGTGTAGTGGGTTTGTTTTGTAAAGGTTTGAACTGTATTAACGCTAATGCTTATCACTAAATGCCATGCTAGAACTGTAAAGTAATCCTTTGCTCATATTAATAAGCTTTTACAGTAGTAATGCACAAAGGTGCTACTTTTTGTGAAGATGCCATGTTTTATGGTGTAAAAAATGAGCTATGGATAAATTTAAAGTATTTGGGAATGACTGATGTGCCTGTGATTGTGAATCAAAAGAAATGTACTAGACCAAAAAGCTGTTTGCATACAACTGGTATGCAAGCTATGACAAGACGTTTAACCAAATAACATGACTGAAAAGATCACCTTAGTCCTACCTTAATTTTGTCTATGGTCTTGTCACTGTTTTGCAACAAGCTTGAATTTCTATAGGCAACTGGAAGGCTAAGTCACTTGCAGCCTGCCTTTATAAAGATCAGGTCACAGTGCTGCTTCATACTTGGAAATAATGTTTATTCAAATTTCGCCTTTTTGAAAAAGGACTGATGACCTAAATATTCTTCTGATGTCATTCCTCACTGTGATGGCTTCTCAGTTTTTCTGTGAATGCAATACATCGTCTGTAACTGGACAGCAGTGAGCATACGTAGGTTTGGTAGCTGTTGTAAGACTCTAATTTACTGCTATACATTAGTTCAAAAAGCTGAATCTGCCAAGCTGGTTGAAAACTTTTGCTTTGAATGATTAAATACTTAGCTACTTAACTTCAAGCACATAGTCTGGTGTAAATCACAGGAACTACTTGCTTATTCTTATGCACTGCCGAATCTGGAACTGAATATTCATTTTCCTTTATTAGAATCCGACCTTCTAAGAAGTCAGAAGTTGAAGCCAATCATGGCTCTGGTTGAGGTTTTAGACCTGAAAGCCAGCAGGGGGTATCAGATCTACCCCTCAAATCAGAAGCTGACCTTAGAAGGAAGCTGTAGGAGATACTCAGTTCTCCTTTCCACACACTGGTGCCTCTGTATGGTCTAATAACCATGTTTGGTTTGAGTTGTGGCTTTGCTGACGTACCAGAGAATAGGCCAAGAAAAAATGGCCTGAGAGTTTAAACATGCTCATTGTAGAACATGAACTCTGTTATTTTAAAAGAGTGGATAGATGTGGGCAAGAAGAATGCTTTGAACTGACATCTGCTACATAGAACGGTGGTATTTAAAGGGGGCAAAATATTTAACTCATGGAGTTGTGTTGGAAACGCTAAGCAAACCGATATGATGGAGATGGCTGTTTAAATCGGCTGTACCTTCTTGAAGCTTTCCTGAGATGAAAACTGTTCTTCAGAAGGAAGAGGATGAATGCCTATCTCTGCATTACCTTAGCATAGGTTCTTCTGCTACGTGAGTATGGGACTATTCCTGCACTTGTGCAGGGCTCAGATAATTATACCTCATAATGACTGTAAAGAAGCAGCCCTGAGGTATGTCTTTTTTTACACTAACTTTCAGGGTACTGAACAGTACCTATCAAAAACCCAGCTCTTCAACTACAGCTTGCATATTGCTTGTACAGGTACAGCTGTTTGGAAAGTTACATATGCTCTGGAGCTGCTTCATGAGGCTTTTCCAACCATCATAGGAGGTTGCTATGGTGGGAAAAAAGGAATTATCAATCAACAGGCACAAACTTTTTAAATTCCTTATGGGCTTTTTTTGTTGGATTTTTGTTTGGGTTTGGGTTTTTTCTTTTTTTTTTTTTTTTTTTTTTAATATAAGGTGATCATGTAAGATGTATTTAGCTGCTTGAGTACTTAGTTCTTTGGGGCCTTGTCACAGGCATCACCTGTGATTCTAGCACCCGTGAACTTCAAACACACTGCAGTAATGTATTTAATATTTCTGCCATCTGTAGCCTGGTCTTTCCTATGATGCTAGGTACTGCAAACAAGTTATGGAGTACATGTGCTGCATTGTAAAGAGTTCATTTGTGCAAAGCCTTGGTGTTTAAATAACGTGTGACATACGAATAGCAAGCCCAACCAGGGTTTGCTGCACCTGTTTGACACAGGCACACAGATCCAGAATATACTGTGCAGATCTAAATTATACAGGGTACTAAAAAAACTTTAAATACGTCAACTTCTGTGTTTTTTAAAGGGTAAGTTAAAAAAATCTGAAGGGTAAAACATTATTTGGGCAGCAAGCAGTGTTGCTTGGGCATCCACAGGAAGTTCGTCAGGGAGGGAAAATTTGTATTAATTGTATTAACCAGATGCAGTGTGATGTGTGCCCAGTGGCATTTGAGATGCTGCAGTTCAGAAAGTGTTTAACTGCAAAACTCTGTTAGCCAAAATCAAAGCAGCTGTGGTAATAGAATATATTTCAATCAGAATCAGGATGGCTTGAACACGGAGAAGTGGTGATAAAAAGCTAGAGAAGGAAAAACTAGGCTTCTGAAGCAACAGCAAGAGAGTGTTTGACCATCAGACCACAGCCAAGCATTTCTTTTGAGGCATGGGAGTTGGTTTTTCATCTTTCTTTCTAGTGATTATGGATAAAGGTGCAATTTCTTATGAAAATACTCTCACAAATAGCTTAGATATAGTAAGTTTTTGCTGTAATTTTGGCTAAACCAGTACTTCTATCACAAACATCTTAGGATGCTTTAAAAAAAAAACCACCTGAAAATCAAGTCTTTTTTAAACAGCATCTTAAAAACCTCTATTCTTTAAACTGTTTGCAAATAAACCACTGCAATTAAGAGTGCAAGCCATCCAAGCTTCTTTAACAGTCTCCACGTGTTTCTAAATACAGATAACGCCAGTAGTCCCTTAGGATTCATGTGCTCACAGGCAGGGCAGGCTGGTGGCCAGATGCTGCACTAACCAACCACCCCCTGTGGAGGTTGACATGAGAACGAAATCCTGGGTTCAGAGATGCTGCCCTACCCTCCTTCAGTAGTTACACATCTGAAAAAAATCTGTTTGTGCACTAACTCGAATAAATCACATACGAAGACATCAGGTAAGCTCCTATTCACAACATGATGGCAACACACTTAAGACAGAAAGTAGCACTTGAATGTATTTTAACCCAGAAGCATCACTGTGTAGTTAACTAGCAGCAGCTGGGATGGCTTTCCTGCCCCCTTTCCCCCAACATACTCTCCAGAGCTTCTTAACCTTTTTATCTAAACCTTGCAAGAAATTTGTGAGAAAGGCAGGCAATAGAAAGTACAAAATTATATTAGTTGTTGGTCGTATTCATTGGACTGATTTCTGAACCTGTGCTCATCACGAGTCATTTTCCACTACTGGCATCTATTTTCAGCTAGTAAGCAGCATCATGAGGCATTAATTTAATACTAGTAAGCAGTTAAAACCCTGAAGTTTTTACAGTTTATTACTTTGAGCTCTTCTAAATTTCTCCACACTCTCTGAAGTTCTGATGAAGTCCATGCTCAGAATTGCATCAGCCTTCTCCTCTCCTCCGTTCATCCAATTTCTCCGTTATACTGTCATGCTGCTGTCCTTCCCTCTGGAGCACACAGGTCCCCAGAACAAGGATGACTTAAACTACTGTGTCTTCCACCTAGGAGTTTGCAGGTATGACAATGTTGCCTTTGTTTGTTGGACTGGCAGGTTTAACCAGTACAATCACAGGGCTTATTGCAGAGGTTTGCACAGACCTTGATCCTTCATTATCAATGCTCCTGGTCAAGCTATACCACCTTGAAAATGAAAGCTGACATCAAGCTGTGATGTTTTTTTCTCCACCAACATAGGC